AATATATTTACAAATGTTTGTGCATGTATCATAAGGTCAATCGTATTTGTATTCAGAAATATAACGTATTATACAAATTTGTTGGCAGCAGTAGAATACTTTGAGTAGTTGAAATAAATAAATAAATAAATATATATATATATATATATATATATTTATTTATTTATTTATTTATTTATTATAATATATAGTATATATTAATTTATTATATATATTTGTGTTCATATGTATATATAAAATCTACGGTATATCTTATAATAACATTTAGTGTTATAAATATTTTATAACTGAGATAAAATGTAGGATGCTAACGAATAATTTTCCTTGATTTTAATTTGCAATGTAACCAATACTTTCAAGACATTGTTTTAAATTAAGTCTTTGATAATTTTGGATTTGTATTATAATGATAACGTGAGGAAAATATTATATAAAAAATTATTATAGAATTTTATAGTCAATATTTCAAAAAGGGACGAGAAGTATAAAAAATATTTTCTGTGTGGATGAAACGTAATTTCACGAACGCTAGAATAATAAAAGATTTATAAGTGTTTTTGCGTGCGTCAGAAAGTATTAAAGGGAGAATTCTATATAACTGGTCGGAAAAGTTGACTATTTTTCCGCTTAAAATTCCGCTCAAATTCTTATTATAGGCATAATATAATCCTAAAATTTTAGAGTAGTAACCCATTTCGAATTTATATCGAATATTTGTGACACTAAATACACGTTTATACCTGCACCGCGCTTAAATACAGGAGCTGTTCGGCGCTTCTTGGCCGGATCCCTCCCGTTTCTCGACTTAATCCCTTTTGCGCAATAGACTTTAACCTTTCTCACTGGATGAGAGGTGCTTGAGAGAATATACACAGAATGTTAATAAGAATCTAAATGAAATTATCTGGCGACTAGCTCCAAAACACTTACATGCTGGCACTACAATAATAAAATAGCTGCTTATATTGCTGCTAGCATATTTAAGAAGGGTTATTCTGCAGTGCTAAAAACATGGATGTTTTGGAACTTAAAATTGTTTAGTAATGCAAAATTTACGCCGATTTATTGGACAGTAAGCGATTGAGTAGGCAGGAGCATCAAACTCCTAGCAGCACAAAGGAGGCTCAAATAGCTCGTAAACAGAAAAAAATTCCAGAAAACTAATTGTCGAGGAAACAGAGGCCCTATTATTTGGAGCTAGAATTGCAGAATAGTCAAAAACAGCCGTGGCTTTCCATAAACTGTTATTTATTTGCTTCGTTAACTTGAACGTTTTTCTCAGAACTACTTTTTCGCAACATGCGTACATCAAAACTCAAAAACTATTCAACCAATTACGTTGTGCTTGTACATTATTGCTATGCGTGCTTATGTATATGCGTGCATGTACATTATTACTTTTTTAATAAAATGAATCTGTATGTAATTAATTTTTATTTACTTAAACAACTTTTCTCAAACAATGAAAATGAAAATTTTCCGTAAAATTTGAACGTTTTCTTTTGAAATCGTTTATTTTCACTAAATTTCCAATTTTTTTTAACACATTCATGTTCATTCCTTGTGATTTTTATTAAAAGAGAACAAATCTTTTAGGATTATTATTGTAAAATTAAAACTAAGTTCGCTGGAATGCACACAAATTCACCTCGTCAAAAATGAGGCCTCCGACATAGACCTTTATTAACTATAAAAATATCCATTACTATTGCTCAAAGAAAATGTTTTCTAATTCTCTGAATGTGCATATAAATATACTAAAAGTTTCAAAAAGATTCATCGAACAGTTTTTTTTTAATCCCTAAAAACTGCCTATTTTTCGGCTCATTTAGATGGAGTTCTCGCCTTAACGATCTGATTTGACTTTGCAAATATAATAGATATTTCTGCTCGAGTAGAATTTCATAAATTTGTTTGATGCATATATCAAAAAGGCATATAATAGTTTATTTATATTAAAGCTTACATCTAGAAAGTATTGTCAAGTGGTCCTTAGAAATACGTGTGATACACAGAATCCACACATTCTACGGTAAAACCGCCTCTTTAATTTATAAAAATATGGAAAGAAAAGCTTATTCATCAGAATTGTTTTCCCTACAGAAGAGATCGATCAAAAATTCATAAATGTTCTGGCATGTATCAGGAAGTTTTACAACTATATGATATAACTATTTACGATGAAAACTACATATACATATGTATATACATGCATATATATGTATGATATATGAATATATATAAATATATATCACAATATAACAATACATAAATATATATAACATATAAATATAACATATAAATGCACATATAACATTGAATCTCTATATTTATTTATAATCTACTATATTTCTAAATTATCTTTATTGAATTAGTCGTAATAAAGAGATTTCCGATGCCGAAGTCGTGCAGCCAGATAATACTGTCAGCGACAATACATGATTTTGCAAATGAGGATATTTGATTTCATACACTTTCAGGTCACGAGACATATAGCTCGTACATAACTTGTAATGTATAACTTTGACTTTCTCTTGTTTAAAGTTAGTTCATTTCGCATTATGTCACGAGAATCTTACATGTCGTAGTATTCAGCTGCATTATATTTTAACGAATATGTTCATGCGTTTCGTTTGACGCAGCATTCTCGATATGGACCTCCTTACAATGAAAGACGTTTATGTGACACAATGAATATTTTATCAGCTCTTTATCCTCTCGCAAACGTGTCAACGTACACGTGTGAATATGTGTGTATATATATATGTAGGTGTCACTCCGTATTATTAAATATTATTAAATACTTATGAAAATATATTCACTATATTCAGTATAATACATAATAGACATTAGAGACGCGTTTTTCATGAAAGATGGCGCTGTTTTTTCCCAAAATTTTGTGTTTTGCAGGTTTTCTATAGTTTCTTAGTATATGATTAAAAATAACGGTCATAATATTTACCAGGATTATAATATCAGTATAAATGAATGTTACTGGATGAGTACCAATCGTAATAGTATCAACCAAACCTTAAAATATTGCAAAAATTTTGTTTTTTTACAAATTTTGTGGTTACATTATAAAATTTTTTGTTTTCTGTGCCATAATTATTACAAAAAAGTTATAAATAAATTTTACAAAAAAATTGTTATAAATAAACTTTAAAAAATTATAGACACAGTTGATTAAGGAGGCAACTCGATTTTGAGGTCGCACAAATTAGCACTTCTTACGAATCTTTTTTTCTGAAAATATGCAGGCGGCAAATCCCAATCTTTGTATGGTTATTAAGACGTACTTTGTTAAAACTTTCTAATTTTTACCAGCAGAAATAATATATGAAATCATAGTTATAATGACATGCGCGTAAGGTGTGGATTTTCATGATCACCACGATTGCGTGTCTCTCCAGGGTGAAACAAAAAAGCAAGTAAGAAAATTAATCTACAGACTTACTGCTATCGTCCGAAGTACGGAAATGCAAAACGAACTATATTTTCAATTTATTTAAAACGTATAAAAATAAAATTTAAAAAATGGACTCAAAATTGTATGTTTATACACTTTAAATTAATTGAAACTAGTTTGTTTGCGCGTATATCATTATAACTATGATTTAATATATTATTTCTGTCTGTAAAAATTAGAAAGTTTTAATAAAATATGTTTTAATAACTGTACTAAGTTTGGAATTTGTCACCCGCATAGTTTTGAAGAAAAAAATTCGTAAATTTGTTAATTTTTGAGACATTAAAATCGAGTTGGCCCCTTAAGCATAATACATGGTGATGTTCTAATACAACTTCCTTTAAATTTCCTCAACAATTCAAGCAACATCTCCAGGTTATATTCGGAAGTTGATCCCATTATTACAACTATTAGCCTTGTATGTTGGGTGAAATTTTAAAACTATATGACAAAAATTAAATATATATATACACATATACATATATATATATATATATATATATATATATATATATATATATATATACTTATATAATATTTTATCTTTACACCTATTTACAATCTACTACATTACTAAATTATCCTTATTGGAATAGTCGTAATAGAGCGATTTCCGATGCCTAAGTTGTACAGCCAAATGATCTTGTCAATGACAAATAATACACGATTTTGCAAATGACGAAATTTAATTTCGTACACTTCCGGATCACGAAATATATAGCTCATAAATAACTTGTGATGTATAACTTTGACTTTACATGTTTAAAGTTAGTCCATTTCGCATTACCTCACGAAAACCTTACATGTCGCAGTATTCACTCAGCTGCATTATATATTAGCGAATATATTCGTGCGTTTAGTTTGATGCAGAATTCTCGATGTGGTCTTCCCTACAATGAAAGACATTTATGTAAAACAATGAATATTCTATCAGCCCTTTATCCCATCGTAAAACATGTCAACGTACGCGTGTGAATATGTGTGTATATGTATATGTAGGTGTCAGTCCATATTATTAAATATTTTTAAATATTTATAAAAATATATTCACTATATTCAGTATAATACATAATAGACATTAAAGACGCGTCCAGTACTTTGAAAGGAAACAATTGAAAGGAAAAGGATGTAATTATGACTTCATATGCAAAGTTATGCAGAGTATGCTTTGGAAAGGAAATATTAAAAAATCAAAAACCAAAATATATTTATTAAAGTCTTTTATCTTGTAAATTGTTTATAATGTTGCGGCCGACGAATAGTGTGACGATACAATTATTCTTCAAGTAAATTGTTGCTTATACTGGGTTTGTTGTCCTTACTAGAAATATTTAAGTTCTCATCTGTCAGCCTCTAAATACATAATTAAATGCTGATTAAGAAAGAACACAGAATCACTCTCAACATCTCTGTATGGTCTACAAGATGCGAATTTATTCTTCTCATTAATGATAGGTACTTTGAAGTATGTTGTCCCTATTTCCGTAACGATCTCTTGCGCCTTACTTTCTGATTTGCAGGTCAAAACTAACGATTTTTCCTGCCTCAATAATGCTGTTACAACAGCCATTTTGTCATCCTTAAAATCTATGTCAAATCCTACAATTATATCTGGACTTAGATATGACTCAGTACGTCTATAATTTTTATATGTCATACCACAATAAACAAAAAAAAGATCTTTGTTTCCTGCGCGACAATTTTGACAAAGCCGTATAGCAGTTAAATCTTGTTCTAAGCATGGCTCTATCATTATAATATATAATGTTGAACCAGGAATCATTTGATGTAAGAAAGCTTCCCAAGCCAATAAACTATTTTGATCCGTGAAGGTTCCGGCTATAATGTGAATTACAAAGTCCGTAAATAACTTCAGATCGCATATATTTGCTCTTTGTATGTAAAACAATAACGTCAATGGTTTTGAGAGGCAATCAGTATATAAAAAATCAGCATAGTTCCATGTTTCGAAATTTCTATGACGTCCTAAACGACGTTGAATATGTGTTTTCATATCGCGCAAACTTAAATAATCTACAAGCTCTACCGATATTGTTATATCGTCTTCATTTGTTACGGTATTTTCGATATCTAGTTTTATACAAAGCCGTAGTTCCGCGCAGCTGTGCACATAAGGAATCGAGTTGTGCGTACAACACATGGTGACCGACATGCATGCGTTGCAAACGACACTCAGGTCATTCTGGCGATAGCATACACGACACGATTTTGCAAATAACAATATTTGCTCTTCATATCGTTCTAGATTGCGACCCAATTTATGCTTAACTCTTTCCAAATTAACCTTGTTAAATTCATTCCATTCCTTAAGAGTTATATTTTGGGTGTTGAATATTTCGACACTCAAGCTTACTACAGCCAGACAAAACTCTTGGTGTTCCACTCGATGCAATTCCAAGTGCTCTTGACAACAATAAGAGATCAAACGGCACCATTGACATACTTCCAGATTTGCTGAAATTTTGCAAAGATGACAGATGTACGGACTGAAAAAATTATTATAATTTACGATTGGGTCTCGTATTATGGATGGTTCAGGATTCAACATCACGCTTAGAACGGTATAACTTATATCGTTTAACAGAGAATGATATTTTATAATGTTAATTATAAAATAATATTATATAAATAAAACTTGTAATATTCTTGCTTGACACCGTACGAATGTAAATTAATTGTAGCTGGAATATGTATGTTGATCCTGCGACCGTTTGCGAAACACTAATATTATTATAACACTAATTGTAACACTAATAATATATTTACAAGTGTTTGTGCATGTATCATAAGGTCAATCGTATTTGTATTCAGAAATATAACGTATTATACAAATTTGTTGGCAGCAGTAGAATACTTTGAATAGTTGAAATAAATAAATAAAGAAATATATATATATATATATATTTATTTATTTATTAATTTATTATAATATATAATATATATTAATTTATTATACATATTTGTGTTCATATGTATATATAAAATCTACGGTATATCTTATAATAACATTTAGTGTTATAAATATTTTATAACTGAGATAAAATGTAGGACGCTAACGAATAATTTTCTTTGATTTTAATTTGCAATGTAACCAATACTTTCAAGACATTGTTTTAAATTAGGTCTTTGGTATGTAATTTTGGGTTTGTATTATAATGATAACGTGAGGAAAAAATTATATAAAAAATTATTATAGAATTTTATAGTCAATATGTCAAAAAGGGACGAGAAGTATAGAAAATATTTCTTGTGTGGATGAAACGTAATTTCACGAACGCTAAAATAATGAAAGATTTGTAAGTGTTTTTGCGTGCGTCAGAAAGTTGTTAAAGGGAGAATTCTATATAACTGGTCGGAAAAGTTGATTATTTTTCCGCTTAAAATTCCGCTCGAATTCTTATTATAGGGATAATATAATCCTAAATTTTTAGAGTAGTAACCCATTTCGAATTTATATCGAATATTTGTGACACTAAGTATACGTTTATACTTGCACCGCGCTTAAATACAGGAGCTGTTCGGCGCTTCTTGGCCGGATCCCTCCCGTTTCTCGACTTAATCCCTTTTGCACAATAGACTTTAACCTTTCTCACTGGATGAGAGGTGCTTGAGTGAATATACACAGAATGTTAATAAGAATCTAAATGAAATTATCTGGCGACTAGCTCCAAAACACTTACATGCTGGCACTAAAATAATAAAATAGCTGCTGATATTGCTGCTAGCATATTTAAGAAGGGTTATTCTGCAGTGCTAAAAACATGGATGTTTTGGAACTTAAAATTGTTTAGTAATGCAAAATTTACGCCGATTTATTGGACAGTAAGCGATTGAGTAGGCAGGAGCATCAAACTCCTAGCAGCACAAAGGAGGCTCAAATAGCTCGTAAACAGAAAAAAATTCCAGAAAACTAATTGTCGAGGAAACAGAGGCCCTATTATTTGGAGCTAGAATTGCAGAATAGTCAAAAACAGCCGTGACTTTCCATAAACTGTTATTTATTTGCTTCGTTAACTTGAACGTTTTTCTCAGAACTACTTTTTCGCAACTTGCGTACATCAAAACTCAAAAACTATTCAACCAATTACGTTGTGCTTGTACATTATTGCTATGCGTGTTTATGTATATGCGTGCATGTACATTATTACTTTTTTAATAAAATGAATCTATATGTAATTAATTTTTATTTACTTAAACAACTTTTCTCAAACAATGAAAATGAAAATTTTCCG